GGTCTGATTGGCGGTCTGCCTTGCCGGCTCCCGCGCGGGGGCTTGGGGCGCCGGCGGCGGGGTGGCCGCGGGGCGCCGGTCCTGCGCGGCCGCCGGAACCATAGCCGTGCCCCGCCACTGCCAGGCCCAGGCCCGGCCCTGTGCGCTTCCCCGCCGTGGGACGCCTCCGGGGCTGGGTCAGAAGCTGCTGGAGCCTCCCGGCAGCGAGGAGGAGCCGTGTCTCCCCTGGGCTGGGCTTGGAAAAGGGGCTTCCAGCAGGCTCCCGGCCTTCCCGCCCTTTCCAGCCGAAGGTTTCGGGGTGGGTTTCGGCTGGGCTGGCTGCAGGGGTGGGCTCTGAGCCGCACCCACAGCCCAACCGCCTTGTATGTGGAGGCTTAATATTTTTATGACTTAAAACCCTTTTGGGGCCTAGTTCTACCTTTTGGTTTAAACAGCAAGGATAAATATTGGAGCAGTTTGGGGCAATTAAATTTATTTTTCTTTGATGTGTTTTCATTGTATGGGAGACGCAACCACTCCTGTTTGTGCGTTGATGCAACTGGAAAGAAGGAGAAAATGACCCCAGAAGGGTGAGGATGGGTTTGCAAGCAGCTCCTGTAACACTAACCCCCATTGCCCCCCCATGCCCTCCAGGGCCTTTATATTTGTAGTGTCTGTTTGCTTTGAGGTTTTCCTTGACTCTCAGCTGTGTAGGAAACCTGTGTTGTCTCTGCAGTCCCCCTAGCCAAACACTGATTGCTTCTAACCCAGGGCTTAAACAGTTTCCTGGGAGTCTAGGATTGTATGTCTGAAATTAATACAGGTGGAGAAGCAGCAAGCCCCAGGATAATACCAAGGGGAAAGACTTCTCTGCGAAGGCCCGGCTGTTGGGTGTGATGCCTGGGTTTCCATCAGGGCCCATCCTCGTCTTACGGGGTGGCTCGTGGGCCAGATCTTCCGTGCGGTCTGGCTGGCATATATTTGAAACGTCATCATTCCTGGCTGTCTGCTGAAAGAAGAATTGCCTTCTAGCTGTCTGAGAAGGAAAAGAGTTGGGGGGAGGAGGGGGGGAACAAGCTGGGCACTCTCCTGCCCCTGCCAGCTTATGAAGAAGTCCTCTTCCCTCACCATAATCTCCTATAGCTCTGTGGAGGACATCTTGATGCCTCTTTCACTGGTGTAAGAGTGACTCAGACCTGCTGGTTGTCATTTGCCTGACAAAGCAATGGTGGAGGCAGCAAAGCCGTCTCTGGGCTCGGAAAGACAATGCTGCGGTGATTGTTTGTCTTTCCGTTTGCCTTCGCTGCTGCTGGTGACAGAAATGAAGCGCTGCCTCCTGTCCCCCTTGTTCTGCTACCACTCTTACCTCCTGTGCTGATTCCTTCTCCTTCCTCCTTTCGGCAAGCATCGGCTTCTTGCAACGAGACAGGCACAGAGCTAAAATTGTCAAGAGACAGATAAAAGCTGGGAGATCATCTTTTTTTTTTTTTTTCTCTTTGCAAGGGAGATAATTAGGAATAGAACCTCTGTGAGGAAGAAGATCTTTCTATCATCATTACTTTATCTCCAGGCAGCTACTCTAATCTCTCTAGGGACACAGTGCTTTCAAGCATCATATTCTTGCTGTGGTTTTTTTAATGCTTTAATCCCTGTGTAGTTCACCCACTTTTGCTACTAAGCAGCAAGTCGGCGCGAGCTGTTGCGTTTGTGTGCGTATGCCTCTGTTCATGTGTGTATGGGTGGGGGGAGCGCGCATGCGTATGCGATTCTGGGTTCAATTAAACGTGCTTTGGTTTTGATCAGTGTGTCCCCGGGGAGTGTTTTCCTCAGGAGATGCTGGGACTGGTTGTAAGGATTATTCATCAGTGGCTCCTAGGTGAAAAGCTAAGGAAAAATGGCCAAACCCAAAACTGCAGAGGGCCCAAAGTTAGGAACGCCATGTTTTTTTTCTGATTGTGGTGGGCAATACAGTGGGGCTGCAAGGCAGAGGTGCCTCCTGAGGAAGGAGAGCATCCCGCTGGCCTGTCTCCGTCTGCTGCGCCTTAGCAAAACGCGGGCAGTTTGTTTCTGGACCCTCAAGCTCAGGGTTTCCGTGGGCTGCCTCTCTACAACGCGGTAAGCCAGTCAAAGCCTTGTTGGGCCACCACAGGTAACACGTACTGGTTCCTTAGCTGCTAGCGCAAAAGGCAGACACGCGGCTGGCTTCACGTCGCCTGGTCTTTAGTTTCCATACCGAGCAACCGGGTGCCCATCTGTAGGTGAAGACGAGTCCAGAGCAAGGGTCAGATTCACACCTCTGGATCTGTAAGGAAACTCAATAGTTACTCTGCTCTGGCTGGTTCGTTCTTATTCACCACTCATCACAGGTGGAAACTCTTTCAGCCCTTTATCTTTGGCAGCCGTGGTGAAATGCATTAAAACAAAGAAGTACCATTTGCCACAGGACATTAGATTGCGTTGTATTCCTTAGCTGAGAAACAAATGTAGCCACCAACTGCAAAATATGTGTATATATAATATATATACTGCCCCATGCTTTCTTTTAGCCATCTCCATCGTTGACGGAGACCGGACGGCACACTGACTCTTCATCAGGCGGAGGGCACCCACAGACTCTCTCTTTTCTTGGCTGCTGGCCAGGTTTTGGGACCTCCCCGTCGTCCCTGTGGGTGCAGGCCATGCCGTGCCCTGTCTCCTCTCTGCGATAAAGCAGGGAGCTAGAGGTTGCTGTCCTGCCTGTCAGCTGCAGCCCAGGGGCTGGGCGCTGCTCCACACCACCTCGGGCTGTACCAAAGGACCCGGGCTGTGGACTCGGGGCATGCTGAGGTCCGCCCTGTGGCTGCCCCGGGGTGGGTAAGATGGTCGCAGCTCTCTGGAGGCAGGAGGAGTGCTCAGGAGGCCCAGAGGGGATGCTGAAGCCAAATTTCGCTGGGATCAGACCCACCGTATTGCATTGAGCTCAGGGAAGGCAACGCTGGTGTGCAGGAATGGGTGGCAGCTGAAAGCAGCCCAGCCCTCTGCTCTGGAGGAGAGAGCAACCTGCTCTGGGACAGCCGGATTCCTCGGTCTGCTGGGCAAGGCAGCGCCCCACACGTGCCCTTAGCTACTACCTCTAGTACCGGCCGCTGCCTCTAGTAACGCCTGCTGCCACAGCACTAGAAGCCGTTCCTGTGCCAGATGCTCTGGAAGCATGGCACGTTCCCCGTGCGAACGCTGCACGAGTCTTAATGAGCCTTCCTGGCTCCAGGAGGGAGCGGAGGAGGCTCCCGGCAGGACAGAGAGGCACGGGGAGGCAATTAAGGCAGCCCCCCATGGCTCGAGCAGTGCAGGTAACGGGGGCTTCACAAGTGTCACCTCCTGGGGTCGAAGTGCAGGCTGCCCTGACCTGGTTTGAGGGGACTGGGAGGTTGACACGCTGCAGGGAGCTGTGACCTGCGAGCCCAAAGCTGATGCTGTGGGTGTCGGGGAGCGCAGGAGCTCCCTGAAGCCCACCCCAAGGTGGGGGCCCCAGGGCTGCCCGTGTCCTCAGGGAGGCAGAGCCTGCACCGCTGGCGGTGCCCTCCGGAAAGCTGGGCAGGGGCTGGAGGGGTGCAGGAATTGCAGCGTTTTCTTCTCAAACCTGATAATTCATAGCCGTCAGGCCTGAAGGTTTCCCGTTGCCACGTTTGACTTGGTCTTCTTGTTCACTGCAGGATGAAGCCCTTTTTGGCAGGGGGTGTTTGAGTCCGGCTAAGCCCTCAGCCCATGGGAAGCCCTGCGGCAGCAAGTCCCACAGATTAGGAAGGGAAATGGCAGTCCCCCTCCTCCCCTCGAAGCATGTTAACAGTCCCTTGGTGGGGGATCGAGGAGAGCGCGCAGGCGTCTGTCTCCCCCCTCTTCCGCCAGCCCCCCCTGAACCACCAGAGCCC